CCACTCCCTGGGCACAGCACCAGCTTGGAGAGGGCACCAGCTTGGAGAGGGTTTACAAAGTCCTCCTTGGGAGGAGGCTGCAGGGAGGGGTAGCGACTAGGCGCCAAGCCTCACCACCATCTGGACTCACCAAGGCCTGGGCCGGAACCCATGTGCACCTCACCCGTCTGTATGAGCCCCCAGAGGTCAAAATGCAGACCCACATGCCTGCAACAGACACAGTCCACACCTCTGTGCACCTGGCAGGCACCCAGCCTAAACCCGTACACCCGATGGGACCCAGCCTGGACACTGTACCACCGCAGTGTGACCATCAGTGACCTGCAGGATTCTTGCCTCAGCCGCATATTCATCCACTGCCACCTCTACTGGGCTGTGACCACAGCCCTAGAGCCCAGATGCTCGGCTCCACCACCAGGGCTTGTGGGCAGAAACTGCACTGAAGGCCTGAAGGTACAGGTAGCCTCCCTGACCTGGACCTATTGAACTGGGGGCCTGATAAGAAGAACATTGGTAGGTGAGATGGGAGGGCCTGGGACTGAGAGAGGAGGCCTCAAGGGCACTGGCTGTGGAGACTTCAGAGTGGGTGCAGCAGTGGAAGCCTGGGGCTGAATTTCCTGCATAGAGTAGTGCTAGCACCCTGCCATTGTGGAGCCTGGGAAGCTCCTTGTACTTGATCCCTGTACTATATTGAGCAGTGGATATCCTATATAATAAAGATGTAATATGCAAATGGTCGTTATGCCTTGATGTGTAATGACCGACTGTGTAATGACCAGATCATGGACCAGCAGGAGGGTGGGGCAGTGAGCTACAAGCAGGTGGTGGAGAGCTACAGGAGGGGTGGGACAGCAGCAGAGAGCTACTGGAGGGCAGCAGCGAGCTACTGGCACATGTATTTGTGCGCAGGGCTACTAGTAGAATGATAAAAAAGAACCATGCTTCCCATCTTGAAGAAACTTACTGCATACTGAAAACCACTGATAATAAATACAAATGCACAAGGAAATATATGCATAATTGCATCTGTTTTATTATCAATATTGTAAAAGAGAATTAATCTTGAAACCTAATTTAACTGGGGGGAACAGTAAAAGAAAGACTCTCTAAAAAAAGTAATACTTTATCCAAAACTAGAGAGCAAGTAGGAGGTATCCAGATGAAGAATAAAAAGAATAGTTCAAAAGCTACCACATAGAAATGAGATTCATTGATCTAGGGAACACACTTATTTATGCAGTCATATTCATATAGGAAACGTAAAAGTTTGAGTTTAAGTGGAGAAAAGTGGAGTTAAAGTGAAATCCTACATAATTTGCCCTCTCCCTAGCTCTGAAACTTTATCCCAGTTCATCTCTCTTTCTCTGAAAATAGTTCTGGGCTAGGAGACTAGGGACTTGAGCTTGGTTCAGATTGACAAATGGCCATAGACAAGTTCTAGTTCCCTTTCTACATGTCAGTTTCTTCTGACTTTCTCTGGGGATATATGAGGATATTGTATCGGCAGGTACACATTATTTTCATCGCCTTTTTATTTTAACCTCTTGCCAGAGACTGTGGTTACTAGATGAATGGGCCTTAGTTCAGATGAGGCTTTGATGGATCTCAACATACAAATGTGGAGGTAGGAGTTCAATAAAATTGAGTTTTTCTCTATAATAGAAATAAATAATTCAGTGTGTATATATGAGAGTGTAAGGCACAGTTCAGGAAAGAAAGGGCAAAGCAATGAAGAGTGAGTATGGATGGAAAAGAGGGATATAGAACTAGGGACATAGCAGAATTTTGTTGTGACCCTATCATGTCACCCTCTCATTTTGTAAATAAGTTCTGCTAAGAAGAAAGCCAAAATAGAGTGTTCCAGTCAGAGGAAGCAGCAAGTGTGGTGACCCGATGTAAGACAAAGCTTGGTGCCTTTGATGACCTGGTCAAAGCCAAAGTGACCAGGACTCAGTGAGAGAAAGAGCAATTAACTGGGATGAAGTTTGCAAGCCAACAAGAGAAAATTACATAGATCTTTACTTTGACTCCACCTCTCTCCACTTGCTCTCATGGCCATTTCTGCACTTGTCATCACCTGGAATAGTTCCACATCTGATTTATACTCAAACTTTTAGATTTCCAATGTGAACATGGCTGCATATGGCCGTGTGTTCCTCTTCTATTTAAAAAAATAAATAAAATATGAGCCAAAGAGAAGCAAATTTTAAAAATGCAAACACCAGAATATAAAATAGGTGTAAAGGCTGCTGAAAACAGCTGTGATCCATAGAAGCCATGTGGGAGAAAGTCAAGAAAGGTGTAAGAATGGTGAGAAGAGTATGCAATGGAAAATATCAGGAAGCAGTAGGAAAAATATCCTTACTGAGCATGAGGGGAGTACATTAAAGATCAAAATTTACATGTTTGTAACAAATGGTTTAGGAACTGAGGTGTACATCCTAGACCCATTTTTGCTTAGGGCATGAGATATGCAAATATTCACGCACATGAGCAATGTTGGTAAGAAGAAGCCTGTCTCTGTGGCAGCAGTTGAATGAGAGAATCAGCGAGACTATACTGGCCTTCCTGACTTAAGAAACTTGTGGAAATAAGTGGTCCAGGAAAATACAACGCATGCATTATTGGGTAAAACAATAATACTGGCATAGCAACAGTAGAAAGATTACTAGTACACATAGAAAAAGATAATTATGATTTACTAGAAAATTCAGCCATAGAATAGATAAATATTATAGCCATAAATTTAAAACCTATTATGAATAATAACCCCTCTGAAGGAGTATCACAAAGCAGAAATACATAAATTTAAGAAAAATGGGGCAAGACAACAGCACCTAGCAGAGATTAAAAAAAAAATGAACTGAAATATATCCTATATAATAAAAACCTTCCTGGCATCATGCCCTCGCATAACACCCTCCACAACGTCATCACAAAATGGCCACCACAAGAGGGCCACCACAAGATGGCCACTCGCACAGTGGAGCAGGGCCTGGTGGCTGCTCCAACAGTGAGGCCTGGGGGTCCTGTGGCTCTGCGCAGTGTGGAAGAGGCAGGTCCCAGTGGAGGAGGTGGGTTGTAGCAGGGGAGGGTAGTTGTGGGTGATCAGGCTGGCAGGAGAGGGCAGTTGGGGGCAATTGCGCTGGCAGGGAAGGGTAGTTGTAAGCGATCAGGCTGGCAGGCAGGCGATTAGTTAGGAGCCAGTGGTTCAGATTATTAGAGGAATGTCTGACTGCCCTGTAGGATCGGGCCTAAACCAGCAGTCAGACATCCACTGAGCCGTCCAGGTTGAAGAGGGTTCAGGCCAGGTTGAGGTACAACCCTCACCTCCCCTGCCTCATGCACCAATTTTGTGCATGGGGCCTATAGAACATATATATATGTCCTCAGGTTATGTCAGACTTGATATACATAATTTCGTGGGTACCTCACCATCTCCCATTTATTTATTTTAAAAAATTTCCATCATTTTGACGTATGAACATATGTGTTTTATGTTTTTTATTATTTATTTACCACAAGTAAGTTCAGGAATTGTTATCTTACTTAAATTTTTTTTTCTTTTTTTTTTTTTTTCTTTTTACTGTTTCACTTCATTACTCCTGTGTTTGTGCTCTATGTGTGTGAGGTAGGTGCTTATGTAGGTAGGTTCCAACTTATGGTGAAAATAGCATTATGTTGTACCATAGGAATGTATCACTGACATAACCCGAGGACCTAGTGTATATATTATATCTCAAGATATATCACAATCCATAACTGCATGTCAGCAGGAAGTTGATCTGCATCTATGCTCATAGTATTTTTTCAATAGGCCATCTAAATAGAGAATACAGCAAAGTTTAGGGAGCTCGGGCCAGGTGGCATAGTTGGTTGTAGCTTCATACAGTAGACCAAAGGGTTGTGCGTTTGGTTCCCAGTCAGGTCACATACCTAGGTTGCAGGTTCAATCTTGGGGCTGGATATATGTATGGGAGGCAACCAATTGATGTTTCTCATTCACATTGATGTTTCTCACTGTCTCTCTAAAAATCAATAAATGTATCATATTCATAGGTAAAGTTTTAAGAAAAAATGGCTGAGGAGAAATGTATAAAATGAGAAGCATGAGAGATTAACCTATTGGAGGGCTAGTAATGAGAAAGTCTGAAACTGTGTTTTTGGTGAAGAGTGCTATTGTTTGCATGTCTATGTCCCCTCAAAATTCATATGTTGAATCCCAATGCCCAATGTGAGGTCGTGAGCTCATTAATGGGATTAGTGTCCTTATAAAAGAGACCACCCTGCGACCCCCTCACGTTCCCTATCCCTTCTACCGTGTGAAGACACATGGAGAGGTTGGCTGTCACAGCCTGGAAGAGAGTTTTTACCAGAACCTGACTATGCTGACTCCTGATATTGAACTCTCAGACTCCAGAACTGTGAGAAATAAATTTTTGTTGTTTATAAGCTATCTAGCCTGTGGTAATTTGTTATACCAGCCTGAAAAGATTAAGGTATGAAGGTCCTATTCCATGGAGAGGTTAAGTAGGTAAAGACTGGAAAATTGTCAGGAAAGGATAAAAGAAGGTAGAAAAAACGGGGCGGGGGGGGGGGGAGGGAGTTGGGTCTTGTCAGTGAGACTGGTGTGGATGTGATGAAGAGAACAGAACCAACCTCATGTGCTTATAGCTGCTACCACTATGGAGTGTGAGCATTAAGCCCATTTTGTGGGCACAGTGAGGGGAGAGAGAAAACTGACCTGCTATGGACAATTGTTCTTCCTTTTTCTGATTCAGAACAGGGTTCCAGACAGAACATGTCAGATTCTTCTGAGAAGTTTCACTGAGGAGCAGTGATGTTTTTACATGGAACAAGTGACTTTTGTCCTGTGTGTGAGTCTCAGACTCAGCTGGAATTTCTCTTCCCTCAGAGTCCATCCACTGGACCTTTGGCTGAGGGAACCAGCCCTCTGACTTGCACTCTAATCGGACTTGTCGCGATTCAGTGAGTTCTACATGGAACTGAGGATGTGAGCCGAGAGCTGAGAGCAGGAAGAGAGAAAAGTCAGGTCCTAAGCTTATCACACACACATCCTTCCTCTGCTCCTCAAGAGTTTTTGCTGCTGACTGGATCTCAGAACAGGAAATGGATGCTCTGAGGAAGTCTTGGCAACAAAGGATGGAACCAACAGAAATGGCTCCTGCCTATTGCTTGACTCCCACTGTGAGTCTCTTTACTATCCTTTCCTTAGACCCAAGCAGGATATATGAGGTAATGGGGTGAATAGAAGTAGTAGCCATCTACATTTCTCCTATGACTTCTTTATATTTCCCAGGAAAATTGGATCAGAGGGAGTAGCCCACCCCAGAATAAACTCACCCCTGTGGGGTGTCAGGGCAAGAAATGTGGGCCATTACCTGCCACTTTCAGCTCAATCACTGCATCACTGTAGAAGGAACCATTTTTGAATGCACAGCAATACTGCCCATTGTCAGAGGGTTGGACATTGAGGATCCTCAGAACCACTATCCCCTTATGCATGGCATTTTTCACAAGCTCTGCCCTCCCTAAATACTTCTCCATGGCTTCCTCAGGCTTGTCCCTCCCATCCTCATACAGGTGCACCACTTGGGAGGGCAGGGATCTGGTCCTTCTTATTTCCATATTTTCAACATTTTGAGGAGGTAAGAAAGAGCAGGGCAGCTCAGCTTCACCACTCAGCATGGCCACCAAGGGTTCATGAGGCCCCTGGACTTGGAATACTCCTAAAAATAGAATAGAGATGGAGTCAGAGTGGGCAGATGAAGTGGGATTGACTGCGTCTACATTTGGCTATTTCCATTATAAGTAACTCTTGGGACAAGGTCTGAAAGTGGATAGTTGCTGGGTCATGGGGATCTCTTTTCCGACCTGAATATTCAGATAGCTAGGAGGATGCAGAAGATGTTAGCCATAGGAGGTCTAGGCTAGCTAAAATTAGGCAAGGGCAAAAAATTTGAGGATGCACTCACTTGGGGGTACAAGTGCACAGTACACAAAATCCTGAGAGCAAGTGGATCTTTAAAATTTGGGCCCAAGCCTCCTCATTTGACTCACCCTGTGGGGAAGGACCCAAGGAATGCAATCACAGGAGATGGGTAATAGACATGTTAATCCTTTAGGTCAGGTGCTGACCTCTGGATGGAGAGTTGGATAACTGTATTGAGAAAGAATCTGAAGCAGCTCAGTGGAAAAGATATTTGAGATTCATTAATAATGTTTGCCGTGAGCGTGCGATGAGAGAACTGGAGCATACAAACTAATTTTTGCCAATATTAGTCTACATGATCTTGAGGCTCTAAGAACTTATACTTACCATATGCGGACTTTCATTTTCTCTCAATCTTTATCCCACCAAATGTCCATTTATATTTAGGTGTACACACACACACACACACACACACACACACACACACACACATAGGCTTGGACCAGGAGATACAAGTAAAATGCCTAGTACACTTTCTGGTACTTAGTTAAGTGGAATAAAGTTATCTTTTTTACTTTTCCAGGATCTCATAGCATTTGTATTTTTGTCAAACTTCTGGTTCCATCTTCCCTTTCTTTTTCTTTTCCTTCCCCTTACATAATAGAGAATCAGAGACCCATATAAGGATTCCTACCTACACCCATTATGAACATCTGGAGGCAGAGGTAGAGTGAGATGAGGTTGCCATGATAAATTGGAGAGACTCTGCCACCTCAGGTCATGGAGGAAGGGTGATCCCCAGGCATTGTGCTGGTGACTCATTGGAAAAGGAGGCAAACACTGTAATGAGGAGAGAGAGAAGAAAAGAGAATTCTGAGTCAAGGGGCAGAGAAAGAAATAAAGGCAGAAATCTGTCTCTTGGACAGGGAAGGGGAACATTTCACCTATGGGAGTAAGGTGAGGAGCAGAATAAGTTTCTTGCTTTTTTCCCCCCTACAAGTTTGGGACTTTTGATTTTACAGGGCACTCATGGCTTCAATCACCTACTACATTCTCATTCCCAAATGTACATCATCTGACACAATGTCTGGTAGTGGCAGGACCCTGATTCTATAGAGACCAGGAGCTAAGGGGTCTCTCTGCCTTGGACCAATAGAAAAAAATAGGTGGCTTCTATCATTTCCCACCCCGCAACCTCCCCTACCTGGCCAAGGGAGGCTTATGATATCCCATTCTAGTAGCAGTAGTGAGGAAAGGATTGTAACATGCATCAACTACTACAAAATCCTGGAATTTAGTGGCCTGGCTGTGAAATTTGCTGCCCAAGGCCTAGAGCTCAGAAATCTTGCTACTCAAGATAGTCTACAGAAAGCTGGCTCAAAGAATGGGAGGAAGGTATTCTCAAGGTCATGTTTTTTTTTTTTTAGGGGGAGATAATGCACTTTATCTGTGGGGTAATGGATCCTGAGCTGGTAGAGGCATGTGGTATATAATTGTGTAGGGTCTTAAGGAACATGGAAGCACTATAGAGATGGAGCATATATTACCTCTCCATGGACTAGGCAGCACTTCTCCTGGCACAGAGAGAACATGGTGTTTTTTGGGGGGACAAAATGTACTAAACTGAAAGAAAGAAAAATTAGGCTATGTGGGCTTCATGGGAAAAATGATTTTCTTTATATTATATAATTTTAAGAATAAAGAAATAGAATTTATTAAAAAAATATGTGCCCCATCCCCCCCCCCCCCAAAAAAAAAATGTACCCAGCCAGTGTGACTCAGTTTGTTGGGCATCATCATGTTCATTGAAAGGTTGCTGGTTCAGTTCTTGCTCAGGACACATGTCTGGGATGCAGGCTCAATCCCCAGAGGGGTGAGTAGGAGGCAGCCAATTGGTGTTTTTCTCCCCTGGATAATTCTCTCTCTCTCTCTCTCTCTCTCTCTCTCTCTCTCTCTCTCTCTCCCTCTCCCTCTCCCTCTCCCTCTCCCTCTCCCTCTCCCTCTCCCTCTCCCTCTCCCTCTCCCTCTCCCTCTCCCTCTCCCTTTCTCTCTCTCTCTCTCTTTCCCTCTCCCTTTCTCTCTCTCTCTCTTTGTATCTCTCTCTGCAAAAAAACAAAAACAAAACAAAAACATATATTATAAAGAAATATGTTAAATATAAATGTAGAAGGAATATCTAAAAAGCTTAAGGTTTTCCAAAAATGCTTTATTGTTTAAAGTATTACATATGTCTCCTTTATTCTCCATTGACCTCTCACTGGCAGTTCCCATCCCCCAGCCATGTCCTCACCCCCTACTGTCTGTGACCTTGGGTTATGCTTATATGCGTGAATACAAGTCCTTTGGTTGCTCTCTTACTTCCCTTCCCCACCCAACTTCCCCTGCCTTCTCTCATAGTTTGGATGGTCTGTTCAATGCTTCTATGTCTGTGGATCTATTTTTGTTCATCAGTTTATGTTGTTCATTATATTGCACAAATGAGTGAGATCATGTGATATTGATCTTTCTCCGACTGCCTTAATTTGCTTGGCAAAATGCTCTCTAGGTCCATCCCACTTCCTAGAAGTGGGATCACTGGGTCAAAAAAAGCAAGGTGGGGAATGGATTACAGGATAGCTACCAAGATAATGTTTTTTCTTGAGAGAGATATGGCTTATTTCAAAGGTTTGTTAGCCACATTAAAACATTTTGAAAAGTATTCATTATTTTGAATAAATACAGCTTTTGAACTTCCGATTGTATACTTGAAATAACTACAGATAATTATAAATACTCAATGATAATTATTAATGATGTCTTCAATTTCTTCATAGTCACTGTTGGTGAGATATTTTAATTGTGTAACTAAATTTGTATTTGCATAAATACAAATTTTAAAATCTTTCTCATGTCCATTCTTTTATTTAAAAAAATATTTTTATTGATTTTTAGGGAGATGCAGAGAGAAAGAAGCATCCATGTGCAAGAGAAACATTGATTGTCTGCCTTCTGCATGCCCCCTACTGAGCCCACAACCTGGGCATGTGGCCCAATTGAACCAGCAACCTGCCAGTGCACAGGATGACATCCTACCAACTGAGCCACACAGGCAAGAACATTCTCATTCTATTAAATTGCATTTAAAGAACATAAATACTGTTTCCTTTGACTTACAAATATAATGGATTTAAAATCCAATTGAAGTTTTTCATCCAATGTTTCAAAATAAGGAGTTTTACCTTGTAGAATGTGCATGGGATGTTAAGATAATACCTTTGCAGTTAGTTTGCACATATTGGTACCAATTGCAAATTGACAAAAAGGATCTGATATAAATGAGGACAGTGTTTGGATGCTGCTGATTTAAGCTCCACCAGGAAACCCTGTCTGGCCTCTTTGTTCCCCCAATCCACCACAGGTAGGGCCACATTTGGGCACCTTGAGCACCTGCATTTTGAACTCTTCCTATTGCTCTATGGGGTCCTTTTCCTGAAGGGCAGCAGCATTCAGTGCAGTGGACTGAAGACTAAATCTAGGCAGTCGATCAAGCAGAGTGTGTAGTTTCTGTAACCAAACAAAGTTACACAGAAGTTGCTCTTCCCATTTGCTGCTCATCTTGCAAAGCCATCTGAAGCATCCAAGTGGTGGGAAAATTGTCATAAGACATGCTTAAGGGTGAAGCATGAAGTCCTACTGGTATCTGTACTGGTACATGGTACCTTCAACTAAGTGAGGGCCTATTTCCAAATCTCTTGAAAGTGTAGAAAATAACATGTTAGGAACAAAATTTCTTGGCAACTATCTCACTTAGGGGATACTGCACACTCTAGGACAGAGGCTGCTTTCTAATAATGGCATAGAGGGGATACTGTGGAAAGGATACAGAGATCTAATAAGTGGTTGAGAGAGGTGACAGAGAAAGGTGAGGGGGATCTTAGCAAAGAGTTCCAGGGTGTTAGTGCCGAGCTCTTCACGTAGTTAATTTTGAACCCAAATAATTTTATAGAAATTCACTGTAAAATTAAAATGCCCACTGCAACAATGCAGCACCCCAGCTCTAGTTAGGGGGTCTTACTTTCTAAAAGCAGGAATTTAGAGTGCTTTACCAGCTTCCAATCATACTTTGCTCAATCTGTCAGATGTTCTTATAAATTTCTTTAGGGACTCTACTTGGTCCAACCTGGCTACTTCCTCAGGCTACCCTGAAATCACCAGCTATGATTTCATTTTAGTATCCACCCATTCTTTTGTATTTGTAACTTTCTTATCTGAAAGTGAAAATCCTCACACTTGATACTTAATATACTGTATACTATATATCTCCATCTATCTGTATGAGGCCAATTTCTCATCTCTTTCTACCCTTTCTCCTACGTGAATGCCCCCCTCAATCCTCTCCAACACTATGCTGGCTCTCCCTCTACATTGATGTCTCCTTACCTTGTTTGGGCTCTGGCTTGACTGGATTAAAGGAAGAATATGCAGTCTGCTTAAAAAAAGAGGAACTTGATGAAATTGAATGGACTTTAGACTGGGACTGTATGTGTATCATATGCAGATTACAAACAAATTCTAAGCTTCACAGAGCAATATTATGAGGGCTCTTTCCCTTTTAGTTTAGGAGGGATATGTATCTTGGTAATGGTACCAAGATACAGATAGGTATCTTGATAACGGCGACTGAACAGATGGACTTGTTCTGACCCTGGTCCCAGAACAGATAGAAGCAGCGTTTGAGTTGCTCAGGGAATATTGATTGGCAGCTAAGGGGCAGCGGAACTCTAAAGGAAGGCAAGGAAGGGTCAGCTGGACAGGATTTCCTGACCAAGCAGCCAGCACTCCGGCTGTGGAGACCTCTTCCGGAGCTACGGGCTCAGAGGGAAGGCTGCGCCATCTTACCAGGAAAGGAGGATCTTCTCTGAGGCCTGGAAAACCCACAGCAGAGAAGACCATCGAGCAGCTGTAACGCCCCAATTGGTGCAAATACGTGGATTCAAGGGAGTTCTTCAATCACCCATGGAAAGGTCCGAGTTTGCGGGGATAGCGTGAGGGTTCTGGGTCCCCGCTATGCCGGCAGCAACTGTAGCTGCGGAGTGCCTGAGCGGCCCGCGCCTGCACAGGCACCCTGGCAGCTAGAGCCATAGAGAAAGAAGGCTAGAGCAACCAAAAAGCCTGGGAGGTCAAACCAGAAACACTGCCACCTAGGGGCTGAATTACAACCTGCCTTTTTTTTTTTTTTTTTACTTTTAATTAATCAAAAATAAATGGACACAAATAACTAAGATATAGCCTACTTAAAATTAAGGACTACCTTACAAAACTGAGGTGCAGTGGAACACTGGGAACTGCAAGACTATCTGGTCTGAGAATCAGGCACGTGCCAAATACAATAACAGAGGAAGTGAATAACAACTACTGGACATTTTTATGCTAATTTTACTATTCTTTATTTTATTTTCATTTTTTATATCTTTTATTTTATTTTCATTTTTTACTTCTTTTACTTAAGAAACGAATTTTTTTTCTTTTCTCCTTACTTGATTTTACCTTTTCAATTATTACATCTTTCAATCTCAATCATCACTATTACTACTGCTATTTTGCATTTTTGTTCCCTTTTTCTTCTTTTTTTTTCTCCAGTACAATTTTATTTTCTCTTTCTTTTACATTGGGATTAGTCTTCATTCTATTTTAATCTCTACTATGGCATCGTTCAACCATATCTCAACTCGAC